ATCAGAAGATTTAAGAAAATTAAAACGTTTCATTAGGAAAGTTTTAAATACATGTAAAAATTTTAAGTATACTAAAACTGTGAAAGTGAAAATAGTTCTTTGTAAGTAGGGAGAGAGAGATAATTTGATTTTTTAAAATCATTTCAAGATGAGGGTTTTAAAAGTTATATTCTCTAGGTAGACAAACATTAGCTTTTCCTCCAAAAATTTATTTAGAAAAACTGCAAAATACAAAGTAAATATATTTCTTCATTGGTTTCTGCTTTTTTCTGACTTATCTTAAAAATGGTTAAATATCTTACATAAACCATAGATTATTTTTTAAATGCTAACAAATATGTGGAGAGGGCATACAAGACTGGTTTGTCTTAACTGTTTCAGAATTTGTAATAATTGAGCTATTTTCTAAGAAATATCAAAGATACTTAAGGGTGGGCTGGAGTGATAGCACAGCGGGTAAGCCTTGCATGTGGCTGACGTGGTCGACCTGGGTTCGGTTCCTCCACCCTTCTCGGTGAGCCCCATAAGCTACTGAGAGTATTTTGCCCGGACAGTAAAGTCTGGCAAGCTACCCGTGGCATATTTAATATACCAAAACCAGTAACAACAAGTCTTACAATTTGTTGTGAGACGTTACTGGTGCCCGCTTAATCAAATCAGTGAACAATGGGAGGACTATGCTACAGTGCTTAGCACTTAGGGGTGGGTAAAAAAACACATTTAGATTTGTTAATTTATTATCAGTGAATTTATTATTTTTATTTTAATTTTATTAAATTAAGTGCACTTAGTTATTTATGCATTTATTAAACTGAGTATATGCATTTATTAAAGCAAATGAATATATTTATTAAATTAAATGTGAATAGTTTTTATTAAATTAAATCAATATTAAACTAAATTTTATTAGATTTTAATAAATTAAAATTAATTTAATACAATTAAATTGTATTAAACATTTAATTTTATTAATTAATTGTTTTTTGCTGGATATGTGATATGACCAGTAAACTATAAAATATAGCAAATCCAGTAAAGCTCGACAAGTGTTTCACAAAAATCAAGATTCTTACTGTGTCCTTGAAACTGGCTGATTTTGATAAATTTACCATAAAAAAGAAAAACATGGTATATATGTGAAAGAATAATATGCCAATTGTCTTGATTTTGTGACTGTGTCACAAAATATCCCTATGTCAGGTTATATTTGTCAAATGTCTATAATGAAAAATATTAGTTATAGTAACTAATCAAGGTTAAGGAGTTGTATTATTTTTATTATTAATTACAGCTTAATTAAACTGAAGAGAAAGTCAAATGTTTTCAAGCTGCAATATTTAGTGGGAATATAAGATAGAACATGATATCATTCCAAATTTATGTACCTAAAATAAATGGAGTTTAATGAAAATTGTTTATTTTACTATTCAAAATACTAATAAAAATTTACTCTATTTTACATGTTATTTCTAAATTTTGAAAACATAAATATATAATAAAATGTTGATGTTACTGTTATTTTGGGGTCAGAGGGTTCTTCCAAAGTATTGATCAGAAAACCTGAGAGTCTCTCACAGTGATGCTTAATCAATCAGTCTGGCTGTTCAATGTGTCAGCCAGGAGGAAGATGAGGTGCCGTTTATATTCTTTATTTTATTTTATTTTATTTTATTTACTTTCTTTCATTTTGGGGCCACACCCAGTGATGCTCAGAGTTTACTCCAAGATCTTTGCAAGAGTTTTACCTGTTATATTATTGCTCTGGCCTCTTGGTGCTGTTCATATTCGGCAATATTTGGGATTACTTGAACTATTCTAATACCTGAGCTATTCTAATAGTTATTACCTGAGCTATTTATCCTTAGAGAATTCCAGGGATGCACCCAGAATGTGTTGGAGGATCATGTGATACTAGTGATAGAACTGAGGTTGGTTACATTTACTGACCTTTAACCATATACTATCTCTTCTCTGTCCCTTATGTTGCCATTCTTTTTTTTTTTCTTTTTGGGTAAGACCTGGCGATGCACAGGGGTTGCTCCTGGTGATGCTCAGGGGATCATATGGAATGCTGGGAATCAAACCCAGGTGAGACGTGTGCAAGGCAAACGTCTTACCTGCTGTGCTATCACTCCAGTTCCTATGTTGCAATTCTTAATTGTATATTTAATACCAACAATATTGAAAATGTTCCACAAATTATATAGACTAACTTCAAAAACATTTTTGAACAAAACCAACATTTCTGTACCTAATTAACAACTACTTTCAGTCCCATCGTATACTACAATGTACTTTAAAATTTTATGTATTTATTTTTGATATTATGTTAATAATACAATAATTCTATTTTTGTTGGACTATTTCACCTAAGATAAAATTTTCAAAGTTTATCCATTTCATTTGTTTTGAAGTTTGAATAATACTTATTTGTAAACATATATCTTTGTAAATCTTTGCAACATTGACTTGTGAAAATATCTATTGGCAAACAAGGGGAGGAGAGAATATAACCATGAGTTCCACCACACCTTTACAATAGAGTAGTGGTGCTTTTAAAAGATACAAGAATGTTGTTAATTAATAGGACCCCAAATTTGGAGTCCTTTATTGATACTCACATCCAGCTGTGCTCAGGACTTACCCTAGCTCTATGCTCAGGAATCACTCTTGACAATGCTTTCACAGGGATCATATCCTAGCAGATGCAATACCACGGATCTAACCCAGCTTGGCTTCGTGCAAGGCCAGTGACTTTCTAGCTATACCAACTTGCTAGTCTAAGATACAAGTTGTTTTTTCCCTGGTCCCTACCAAGAATTTTTCAGGGGACCATAGGTTGTGCTGGGGGCTCAAATAATGTTGGCTGCTTAAAAGAAAATAAAAACATATTTTTAATTCTAAGACTTCAATTGCCTTCACCTTTAACTATTTCTTTAGCCTTTGACTGCATTCATCTTAGTATGCACCGCAAAAACTGTGTCTTTGACTTAGGGCATATTTTTCTCCGGGCAGGAGGCTTCTCAAACTGATATTAAGAGATCTGTGTACCTCATCCAGTGATTCTCAGTTAACTGAGATGGGTTCAATGCAAAGTCATGAAGATAAGGTTTTTGCTCATGCTCTAGAGTGCCATAGAGTATCTGGGCTACCCAGCAGAGTTCATGGGTCTACAGGACTGCACTCAGTGATACAAGGGGGCCCATATGGTGCTGGAAATAAAATAAGGGTCACCTGAATGCAAGGTACAGGTGACTAACTGCTGTTATATATCTCCAGCCCTAAAAACATATTTTTAATTCCATAAAATCGTTGAATAAATTAAAAGCCATATATATACATGATATGATATATGATATCATGTGCATATCCAGGAATCAGTACGCATGGGGCAAATGACAGATAAGAGATTAGCCCCTTAAAATAAATACATGTGAGCAAGATAGTATATTGGGTAAAAGGTTTGCTTCACATGTGGTGAAGCCCTATCAGGCTTTGATTTTTCCACAGGACATATGGTCCCCCAAGCCCCAACAAGAGTGATACCTGAGCAGATGTAGGAGTAAATTTTGAGCAAAGTTGGGTGTGGACCCCAAACCAAAATAAATAGAGAATAAAATAAATAATGTAAAATTACAGAAATTTCTAGAAATATCTTATTTAAAAACAAACAAACAAAAGACAAGTGAAGGAAAGAGAAAGTTTCCAATGAAAACCAACCCTTAGCCCTGGATTTCAGAACTGAAATGTCAAGTAAGTGGGAGAGTAGGTGGTGAGTGGATTGATGGGGTGGAAATAACAGAAGGTCACTGGTGGATGGTCTCAGGTACTTCGATGGATTTGAGATGGAATAACTACATCAAAACCGGAAGTGTTGGCACTATTGTAAATATGTGATCTTACCTATTAAGCTGATTAAAATGTTTACACAGGGAGTTGTTTAGGGGAGTAGGAGGGAGTTTTTTGTGCAACACACTGGCATTGGTGGTTGGTGTGGAATAGATCCATTATTTACCTGAAGCTCCATTGTGGATATTACTGTAAATCACAGTGCTTGAATAAAATATTAAGTAAATTTACATATAAAAGGGAAAAAAAGAAGCATTATTATCTGCAAAAGAAATCAGGGTTATTTCGGTTTCTTGTTTTGTTTTGTTTTTAACATCTAGGAATGATTTATAGGGAAAGAGAGAGAATACGGGTGCTAAGGTGCATGCTTGCCTGTGGCTGACACTGGTTTGTTCTCCTGCAAGAGATGGTTTCCTAGCATGGCTGGGTTAAGGCAAATCCTGGAGGGTTTGAGCAGGTGAACTCATGGGTGGCCCATGTAATTCCTGGGACCTCACTGCCTGGCCTATGCTAAAGCCTCTTGCCCTAGCATTGAACTTCTGATTTCTTTATCCAAGAAACACTGGAAAGTGCCCCCAAGTCCTCCTGACCATAATTTGAGAGTTCCCTTTACCCAAACCAAAGAATGATAGTATATCACTTAATAATTTTGGAGAAATTTATGCATATTTGCATATAGAACTGACAAAGCAGGGACACAATTGTATATTGAAGTTAATCTCATTAATCTGAGGTAATGGGTAAGGAACTTGACCGAGCAGAGCAAGTAAATAAAGAAGCATTCAAGTGTGGTAGCACTGTAACACTGTCCTCCCATTGTTCATCCATTTGCTCGAGTAAGCACCAGTAACGTCTCCATTGTGAGACTTGTTGTTACTGTTTTAGTCATGTCGAATATGCCATGGGGAACTTCCCAGTTTCTGCGGTGTGGGCAGGATACTCTTGGTAGCTTGCTGGGCTCTCCGTGAGTGAGGGAGGAATCTAACCCGAGTGTCCCACATGCAAGACAAATGCCCCCACTGTGCTATCGCTCCAGATCGAAATATTTACTATTCCATTAAATTCAGAATATTTCAATCTTTGATGATTCAAGTTTTTATGCATATTAAAGTCATAAACATTGCCTACACTTTTTTTTTTTGCAAATCAGCTACTTTTATGTACATCTTGAATTATAATGCCCTGTCATAGATTTGGCAAGTACTTTCTCATATAATTACACTATTTTATCCCCAGATGAAAATGAAACATTTTGATGATGGACCTACATCTTGGTTAAATTTTGGTGCTGTCAATATCTATTTTCTTCTAATTAAACTACTCTTTCTTTCCCAGCACTGGAATATTTTTCTTTGATTTCTTCATTCATTCTTTCCTCCTACTATGTTGTTAGATATGTACTTCTTTGCCATTGTATATTATTTTAATTAAGAAAACAATGAAATCTCCTTTGAATCAACTTGATTCATTATGCATTTGTTTATTCCTAAAATACTGCTGTAGATATTTATGCATTTACATTTTCTATAAAATTAGTCACACTTAAAGTGACTGAATATGTTGAATCTTTGCAATTCCTCTTTTTTACATAATTGTCCACCATTTACCATATACATATACTTATTTCATAATCCTGAGTACATTAAATGTTGCAGAAGGAAGAAAATAAGGCAATTGATATTTAATTTATAAATTTATGTTGCCAGATAAGTTATAATTGGACACATTACTCTTGCATTAAAGAAGTTCACTCAAATACATTAAATTGAAAAAATAATATTACAAATAAGGGATCAAATTATCTTTCTCTGAGTATAAGTAGTCACTTGGAGCACTATGAAAGTTTATCAATGTACAGCTGAGAGACAATGCTATATTAGGAAGCTATGGAACATCTTAAGCGTTAAACAAAGTCCTGTCATATCCATACTCAAAACACGTTACCTAATAACACTAATTTAGAAAAAGTAAGATATTATACATTTGTGCTATTTCTCAGATAAAGATTATCATCAAGGTGGCTTTCAATTCCATGAGGACAAAATCATGTCTACTAATAAACCTGATTATGGCAGAATAAAATACTGGAGAAAATTTCAAGCTTCTTGAAATGCTTTTACAATCACTGAGTAACTTTTTAACTATCAATAAAGTAAAATGATTATTCTCTCAAATTTCAATGGTTTTAACTCCAGAATAAGCAAATATGTCACATAGAGTTGATTGGTTTCTAAGTTAACTACCTAAAGTTCAAATGAAAAAGAAAAAAAAATTAAAATAGATAACTAGGTAACCTTGTAGACAAAAAGTAACTTAAAATGAATTTAACAGTCAGAGAGAAAATCTGAAAATATAAAATGCATTAAAAACATTGGAAATACTTTCCATAACATTGACCTTAGGCATGTATCTGGGCACTCAGTAACAACAGTGAAAGAAAAAAAAGCAAAAAGAAGGCAATGGGACCATAGATAACTGAATCATCTACTCATTAAAATGAACTATGAAGAAAACTAAAAATATAACATCCTATGGAATAGGATAAGCTGTTTTCACACCAAATGGACAAGGTGTTTTACATTTTATCTACAAATACCAAATAAAATGTATGGAAGACTCAAAATTCATGTTTATCCTTCCATATCAATGAATAAGGTACATATTTGAATAATTCAGTGGATTTTCAGATATATCCTAACAGAACAGCATAACAGTAGAGTGAGTTCCTGAAATGTAAAGAAAACTTAAATGTTCACTTGTGCACTTAGGTTTCTGAGAGTGTTAACTAGGTGTCTTGAGAACATTATTCACAGAGCAAACTGGCCAAATTGTGGCAGAAGAGAAGGAATGCTTCTCCCTGAGGACTATGTACCAGGTACCATTCTAGGCCATCTCTTTCCATTAGTGGAGTGAAAGTCAATCCCTAGAGGTACAGGAAAAAGTGTTCCTTAGAGAGGCCTGTCAAAGGGTATAAATAGGCAGTTGAGATTTTTCTGCTCATCTTCTTGTATCCTGCACACCTTCTTACTTTTTTCTTTACTTGATCAACCTATTAAATATCTCCAGAATGCAGGAAATTAGAAAACGTAAGTAAACAAAGTTGTGCTTACTGACTACCTATAGAAAATAATCCCAGAGAGATGTCAGAAGGCTGAAAGTTTGCTCATTTTTCCTAATATGTAAAACAGGTTGTATTTATCTCAACCTTTACTTATAGTGTAGTATTTATCACTTTAGTTGCCCTTTATGCAGAATTGTAGCATGTCTGTATTATGTTTTTAAATATAACTTACAAACAGTACAAATGACTGTGTATAAGTTCATATACATACATAAACACTCTGTACACACACACACACCATACAAATAACTTGTCAAATTTTTAATGTTTTTAACCTATTTTCTATGTCTTAAGGTTTACCTGACATATTTTTTATGGTATGCAGATATAAAACTTGTGTTTACATGTGTTAAACATATATCCCACTATTTTTATAAGGCTGACTAGTTTGGGAGAGATAAGTCAGTTAAAGGTGCATAAATTTGCTTGAAGCTGCCTGGGTTTGATCCCCTGCACTCTAAAGAATAAGCCCTGAGTCATAGAATAATTAATAATTCATTGAATTAGCCCAGATAAAGAAGTTGGAACGCATGAATTTTTTCCCTTATCTAGTTTACTTTAAAGTTATTAGTTGATGCTGGTTAGAATTACAAATTTAAAATTTACCTCACTTGATGGGTTGGAGCAATAGCACAGTGGGGTAGGGCATTTGCTTTGCATGCATCCAACATGGCCAACCCGAGTTTGATTCCTCTGCCCCTCTCGGAGAGCCTGGCAAGCTACTGATAATATCTTGCCCTCACAGCAAAGCCTGGCAAGCTCCCTGTGATGTATTCAATATGCCAAATACAGTAACAAGTCTCACAATGTTATTGGGCCTGCTCGAGCAAATCAATGAACAATGGGAGGACAGTGACAGTGACCTCACTTGATTGTGAATAAGGTATGATCTGGGGCATAAGATTGAAAATCTGTGGCAGTTTTTGTGGAGATTAAATAAGTTAATACATGTAAGACACAATGAAAAATATTAAGCACTTATTCCATATTGTTAATTTTCATATAGATTTAATTCTTCCATGGATAGAGCCAGGGCAATTTGAAGCTACTTAATCCATTTTATTGTCCATTCACTAAGAAGAATCTACTGAAAGAAACCTTCCATTCGGACATCAATTAGTCTAAGGTAGCTCTGCGGCATCCTTAGCTAGCCCTGTGTTCTTTCAATAAAGAAACTCGGCTCAGAACTTCTGGCCACAGATGGCTCCTCCCCTTGAGAATCACACCAATCCTCAGGATACGTGGTATGTTCTGACTGGAATCCCAGGACTGGAAGATATACATGTCTGGATCGCTATCCCTATTTGTTCTATGTACATTGTGGCTGTCATAGGCAATATCTTCTTGATCTTCCTAATTGTGACTGAGCGCAGTCTCCATGAGCCCATGTATCTCTTTCTTTCCATGCTTGCCATAGCAGATGTGCTGCTTTCTACCACCACAGCCCCTAAGATCCTGGCCATCTTCTGGTTCAATTCCAGGAATATATCCTTTGCTAGCTGTGTGATACAGATGTTCTTCATACATTTCGTCTATGCTGTGGAATCTGCTATTCTCTTGGCAATGGCTTTTGACCGCTATGTGGCCATCTGCTACCCACTGCGATATACCACTATCTTAACCTCCTCAGTGATTGCTAAGATTGGCGTAGCGGCTTTGGTCAGAAGCTTTACTGTCTGTTTTCCATTCATCTTCCTGGTATACCGACTTACATACTGTGGCAAAAACATTATTTCCCATTCCTACTGTGAGCACATGGGTATTGCCAGACTGGCCTGTGATAACATAAAAGTTAACATAGTTTATGGCCTTACTGTGGCTTTACTGACTATAGGGATGGATATGTTACTCATCATTACTTCCTACTCACTGATCCTTTGCACGGTGTTTAAGATACCTTCTTGGTCTGCCAGGTTCAAGGCCCTTAATACATGTGGCTCCCACTTCTGTGTTATACTTATGTTCTATGGTCCAGCCTTATTTTCATTTTTTGCCCATCGTTTTGGGGGCAAAGCAATCCCTCACCATGTTCATATCCTAATAGCCAACCTCTACGTAGTAGTGCCACCAATGCTAAACCCCATTATTTATGGGGTGAAAACCAAACAGATTCAGGAGAGAGTGGTTTTGCTTTTCTCTTCCTTCAGTAAATGTTGCTAAAATAATAGATAATGCTAAATATTATTTCTGAATTAAGTACAAAAATTCTATTTAATATTATAATTCAGTGATCATTAGAAATACATGGAATGCATGCACATCCTACAAATACACTTGTAAAATGGACAGCTCCTCAAATACCCATTTTCTTCTCCTAAATCTTGTAGTTTGAACAAAACAAATTTAAATAAGGAATATTCTCAATTCCACATTTGTGCCCAAGTGTCATCTCAAATTCTACAACACTGGTAAACCACTGGATGCTATATAATTATAATTCAGCCAATTTTGATTAACAAATGATAAATACAGGTGGTTTAATCTTTAACAATAACTTAGTAATCTCTTGTACAAGGGCTTAATGGCTCCATGATTAGATAAAACAACCTTCACTTACTTTCTTATAAGGAAGCATTTTTTGATCATTCTTTTATCAAATTATTTATAATAAGCAATATAATATACATTATTGAGCACCAGCTACAGGGACAGCTCAAGGGGTGACTGGAAAAACTGGTAATATGGTGGTGGGAAAGTTCAATGATGGTGTGATTGCTGTTGGAATATTGAATGTTTGTTAACAAATCGTCATGAACAACTGTGTAAAAAAATAAATGAATAGAATTTTTTAAAAAGTGGTGGATATATAATCTGCTATCAAATTTCTACTTGAGAAATAAGTATTAACTTTTCCCCAATGCTTGATGTACAAATTCTTAATAAAATATCTCTATCACTGGGTTTCTGTTCTTCAGTGAATCATCTCGAATATGATTAAGACACATAAAAAGATATTACTAATAAAAAGTTATTAAAATATGTGAAATGTTTGTAGAAGTTCAGGATGGTAATACTGCTGTTGCAGAATCTGTAATGAAGATTTTTCCATAATGTAAGTTAAACATATTTAGGGGTTTGAGAAAAGTGACACAACTGTATTTTGTACATTAATTTATTTTTAATTTATTTGAAAAGGGATAAGCCCTGAGCCATAGAATTATTAATAATAAATTGAGTTAGGCACAGATAAAAAAATTGGAACTCATGAGCAGATAATATTATCATTAAATTACAATATATAATAAGGTCAACAGAATTCAATAAGAACTTCACACACAAATAATAATTATTAAATATATTGTGTCCTTGAAACTTGCTGATAAAGTAGTTCATAGATATTGCTACAATTTAAAAAAGGAAAAATTGTACAGATTTGAAGAAATAAATGTGTTATCTCTATCTTGTCACTATTTCACAATATATATCTATGTCACAGGTGTGATTCACAATTTTCACTGAATATTTTCCTTGGTAATTATTTCCTAGATATTAGAAATTTTGGGATTATTTTTTAACATGATGACTATGGAATAGGTTTTTTTCCCTCTCAACTGCATCACTATTGATTTATAAAAATATAACAGGTTTCTGTACAGTGACTTTGAAGCCTGTTCTTTACTCTAAATTTGTTATTTTTAGGTTATCTTATGGGCATTGGGGATTTTTCTATATACAATATCATGCTATCTGCAAATAGTGATAGCTTGACTTCTTTCTCAATCTGAATTCCTTTAATTTCTCTTCCTTATCTAATTTCTATGGTAAAGGCTTCTAAAACTGTGTTGAGTTACAGTGGTGACAGTGCAGTGTAAATCCTGCCTGTTTCCAGATATAAGAGGAAAAGTTTTCTGTGTTTAAACACTAAGAATTATTTAGTTATGGTTTTATTGGATTATTCAATCCCCATTTTGCTGAGAACTCATTTGAAAACAAGAACAGTGCAAATTAATTACCTAATCTCACATCTAAAACAAACTAAAAAACAAGAAAAATAAAGCCAAAGATTGTGATTTTGTTGTTTTTTCTTTTTTCTTTTTTTGAATTTTTCTTTTTAAAGACTCTACAAAGCCCCTAACTAGACTTACAAAAAGATAGAGAAAATCCAGGTATATCAGATGACGAATGAAAGAAGAGAAATAGATATCTTAGAAACGCAGATGACTTAGAAATATATATAGGGGCTGGAGAATTAGTACAGAGGATAAGACACTTGACTTGCATGTCACCTTTTAAGTTGGATGTCTGGCATCTCATGTCCCCCACTCACCGCTAGGAATGATTCCTGAATGCAGATCCATGAGTAATCCATGCACATCACTGGGTGTGTCCCAAAAAAAAAGTAAAGAAAGAGATATAAAGATAATTATATTTAAAATAAACATTCAATGAAAATGAAAATATATTTGTTATTTTGTTGCAGCTACATACCCTTTTTAATTTTTTTCGGGTTTTTAAAATATTTATAATTTTTTTGGAAGTTAACATGTGAATAGGAAATGGAAAAAAGAAGCAAAGAACAGTCATCCACAATTACATGCAGTTATGTCTGACATGTTCTTCTAGCTCCTATTTACCTTCACAACTAAACATCCATTATGTTATTAAGATCATATGTTTATGTATCATGCTTCTTTATACACCATGAATATTTACCATTTCCAAGTCCCAAAGCTATAGAGTATTTGGTAAACAAAAATATACAACACCAACTGAAAGGAAAAAAATTAATCCAGCTTTTCTTGGCAATGAAAATTTCTTAAAAGACAAAAATGGCAGCAAGGCCTCTAGATAGATAATGACATAGTTACAATTAAAATACTACATTCCCTGTATGTTCAAGTGAAAGAGACAAAGTAACCCAGTAACAAAGTATAAGCTTCCACTCATTCTAGTAAAATGTTAGTAAGGAAGTGCTAATGAGGTACCTACACTGTATTCCTGCACACAGCTAGAGACGCATCGACCCAACCAGCAATGTCCAATGTGACCAGAACAGCCCCTTCCCCTGCACCTATTTCTTCCCTGTGCTGCCAACCGCAGAAACAAGACCTGATGTTTTATTACTCAGAGATGGTTTAACAAGGTTATGTCCAAGAATCTCCCTTTCTATCAGTTACAACAGGTATATACAAATTGGGTTAATTCACTAAGTTCTACTTTTTATCCTATGTTGTCATCTCAGGACACCTAAAACCTTACATGTTGCAAAGTAATCAATGAATCTTGTCCACAATAAACACGGGTATACAAAAGTACACATCTAGACCTACAGTTATAATCTAGACTGTCTTCTAGCTGAGTTACCATCAGAACCTTTCCCTTCTTTCTTCAGCATTTCAGTGACCAAGTACAGGACACATCTTGCTCCAAGTGGTGGATTAATAGACTCCAGAAGACAGTCCTTTCTAAACACTAAAAATTACACAGGAATTGTTTACGAATATTACTTTTTAAAATATACTGTGTTAGGACTTATTTTATAGCCATGTTAACTAAAATGCATATAAAACAAAAGATAATCTGAGCATGCCTATAAGACTCATGGGAACAGAGGGAACAGAACAGTACAGAACAGAAGAGGAATATCAGTGAAAGGTTACTTGATTCTTGAATTGTTTTACTTCATTTTTTATTGCAGTTTAGGTGATATATATTAGGTGATATATTTTATAGTTTTAATGTAAAAAGTTACTCCTTTACTACCTAAGTCCATCTTGGGCACTTGAAGTACCCAAGCCTCTCCCCCACTGTTTTTATGTCACTTCAAGTCCTCCTTATCCTTCACCTCAATTCTCTCTCTCCAGTGCTTGATAATCTTAGTTTTGTAAAGGCAAGGTTTTTCAGCATTTACTATTTTCTATCCCTTTCTCTCTCTGATTTTATTTATTTAATATGTTACCATCCTGTTTTAATCAAGTTTGAACTGCAAAATATTAATCATTTCTCACCACACTAAGGTAAGATATAATATTACCTGTTCCAATCAAGTTGGAACTGCAAGATAAAATCTTTTCTCACCACACAGAGGTAAGAATCACATGTGTATGTGCATCACACCTTCTTTATCCATACCTCTACCACTTCAATTGTTTCCATATCATGGTTATTGCACTTAGTACCACAATGGAATTTCTATTCTTACTTTTTTTTGAGAACTCTCTATATTATATATTTTGCATTGAGGTGGGAGAAGATGATATTTCCATTTTTGTCACACCACTGCCAATACCGATTGGTTTCAGTATTTTTGAGATAAAAAGATATTGATTTTATTTTCCTCATAAATGATGAAGAACATTTTTTTAAAATCTCCATTGGCCATCAATATATTCTATTCGAAGAAGCATTTGCTCATCTCTTCTGCTTGCTTTTTGATACCCACTATTTGAATTTTTGTTGTAGAACTTTAAGGGGTTCTTTATATATCTTGGATATTAATCCTTCATCCGATGTATTGCACTGCACTGCACTGTCCTCCCGTTGTTCATAGATTTGCTGAGTGGGTCAGTAACGTCTCCATTGTGAGACTTGTTACTGTGTTTGGCATATCAAATACGTTACGGGTAGCTTGCCAGGCTTTGCCGTGCAGGCGAGATACTCTCGGTAGCTTGCCGGGCTCTCTGAGAGGGGCAGAGGAATCAAACCTGGCTTGGTCAGGCCTGAGGTTTACAAGGCAAATGCCCTACAGCTGTGCTATCTCTCCAGACCACCCGATGTATAGTGTACAAATATTTAAATTTTTTCCATTCAGTATATTCTCTTTTATTTCATTCTATTTCTTTAGTTAAAAAAAACTTCGCATTAGAATTTAAGATAGCAGAATTAGTAAACCAGCTAACCCTCCCTAATGTGGTGGATCTCATATAACTAGTTGAAGAAGTATATAGAATTAAAACTCAAACAAACAAAATCTACTTATTCTTCCTATGTCTGCTAAATGAGAATCTTCTTGCCTGGTATTTTTAAAATCGAAGGACTGACTTTTTAAGACTCACCTGGACTTTTCCATGATATTATACAAAAGATAAGTCACTCGTTTTGAAGGTGTGCTACTGTATTTCAAATCCCCAAATCCACATAATGTCTTCTGAGCAATGCCATGCATCACTCTTAAAAACAGAGCTAGCACCTGAGCACAATGCATGTGGCAAAACAAAACA